CATAAAGCATTCACATGTTTTATTTCAAACCAAGAACTTGAGAATAAGAAATAATAATTAGTAATAACATATAATTTTCTCCTGTACCCCAGATTACCAAAGGATAGTTATAGTATTTGTTTTATCCCAAAAAAAGTGACAAAAAGAAAGCCACACACACACATACACACAAAGACGTATAATCCTACCACTCAATCATAACAACTGTTATTATGTTCTTATCTTTTCTGCCTATATAGCATATTCATACGATGTAATTATGCTCTCCATGCTATTTAATGGCTAAACTGAATTGCACATGAGGGCCCATAAAATAATTTTAAGTCAAACAACGTATTATTTGAGCAAGTGAGCCCATGGGAAGGAGAGAACTGGGTTAATCATATCATTTCAGTGTACAGACACAGAGGGAGAGGCAGGTTAATGCCTCCTAAAATTAAAAATCTTTTTCCCTTTGGGACTTCCCTCGTGGTGCAGTGGTTAAGAATCCACCTGCCAATGCAGGGAACACAGCTTCCAGCCCTGGTCCAGGAAGATCCCACATGCCGCGGAGCATCTAAGCCCGTGTGCCACAACTACTGAGCCTGTGCTCTAGAGCCCATGAGCCACAACTACTGAGCCCACGTGCCACAACTATTGAAGCCCGCGCGCCTAGAGCCCGTGCTCCACAACAAGAGAAGCCACCGCGACGAGAAGCCCGCGCACTGCAAGGAAGAGTAGCTCCCACTCGCTGCAACTAGAGGAAGCCCGCATGCAGCAACGAAGACCCAATGCAGCCAAAAATTAATTAATTAATTTAAAAAAATTGTTAATTATAAAAAACAATAAAATTAAAAATTTTCCCCTTTAATTTACTGATCATGGAACACTTGATTATGGAAAATAGAAATGGACTGCATTGGAGGGAGCCAACCATTTATGGAGTGACCGGGTTCCTGGTCTTTCAGCAAAGCACGAAGTCCACTTATGGGCTGTCTATTTAATAGCGGCCACCAGTGCCCGTCAGTTAGAATGCCCTGGCACTCACTGTGCAGGCCTGCCATTGGTGGCATACCTGTGCTTTTTACAGTAGGTGGTCATAGGAAAAATCCACCATAAATAGATCAAGCCCTTTGAAAGCATGTCAGCATTGCAGAGGGAAAGAAAGTCTATATCTGCGACTTAGGAAGGATCAAAGCACGGCCGCCCTTGCTGAAGTAGGAAGGAGTTAGCTTTAGTTGCTGATTCAGAATCTGGTTAATTTTTATGTTGTCCATGAAACTGTTTCCTTGGGCTTAATTTTTCAAAGTATGCTGGTTTCTTTTTTTTATTATCATCCATAAAAAATTTAAAAACAACAACTTATATAACCCTGCTTCTCGAGTCCATCCTGTTGGTCTGTTTTCCAACAGTGACAATGGGTGAGGACGGATGAGGGGGACAAGAAGCTAACTTAATTCACCTGGCAGAAAAGTCCCATGGAATTTGCCCTTTGGTTATCTTTTTGTTGTTTCTTTTCTTTTTTTCGGTACGCGGGCCTCTCACTGTTGTGGCCTCTCCCGTTGCGGAGCACAGGCTCCGGACACGCAGACTCAGCGGCCATGGCTCACAGGCCCAGCCGCTCCGCGGCATGTGGGATCTTCCTGGACCAGGGCACGAACCCGTGTCCCCTGCATCGGCAGGCGGACTCTCAACCACTGCGCCACCAGGGAAGCCCAGCCCTTTGGTGTTTGAATAAGCAGGAGTGTAGCAGGACCCCACCTCAATAGATACCTGTTAGCTCAGAATCTCAAGCTTTAGAGAGCTTCCCAAGGCCTTGTGCTTCCTGACACTTACAACATGGCGAAACTAGGTGACAGTGGAGTTGGCATGGTTGGCTAAGGGTTTTTGCTAAGACATCAAGCCCAGATTTTGAAAAAGGAGAATGCTTAGAAAGGCATGTGGTATTTTGAGGGCCAAAACTCTAGTCCTAATTGCTCTCCCCAAATAGAAGGCGTGCTGACAATAAGAAGAAATCTAAATGATGGGATTGGGTGAGTGCCTGGGAGCAGTCAGCCAGCAGGAGGGTCACGAATGGGAGACGTAGTATTCCCTGTGGGGAAGGCAGACGAAAAAAGCTGCCCTCGGAGTGCCAGGGGACGGTTCTTGATTTCTTGGCAGCGGGCAGAAGGGGCTTTCGTGCGGGTAGGAATGGCCTGCCAGTCAACTATATTTACAGAGCACCTGCTGTGCAGAATTTGAAAAGGAGGAGGAGACAGGCCTTGTCCTCAAGAAGCTTGTGATCAAAGAGAGAAGTTCCCAAGTACTGTGAACGGTGTCATATTTGGAATGGGAGAGGATTTGATGACATGGAAGGCTCAGTCTGAGCATTCTTATTCAAAGTGTGGGTCGTGGACCCCCAGCATCAGCATCACCAGGGAGCCTGTTAAAAATGCAGAATCTGGAAGCCAGCCGCAGACCCCCAGAGTCGGAACCTGCACTGGACCAAATCCCTAGATGATTCGTCTCCCCATAGCAGTTTCAGAAGCACAAGAGGGGCTGTGGAGGTGCTGAGTCTCAAATGTTTTGAGAGAGAAAACCACCTGGCTTGGTAACTAAACTGATAGAAAAAGGCAGTTAATTTACCTGAGATTCTTTTTTTTTTTAATATTTATTTATTTGGCCGCACCGGGTCTTAGTTGTGGCATGCAGGATCTTTGGTGTCGCGTGTGGACTCTTAGTTGCGGCATGTGAGATCCAGCTCCCTGACCAGGGATGGAACCCCAGCCCTCTTCCTTGGGAGCCCGGAACCTTAGCCACTGGGCCACCAGGGAAGTCCCTACCTGTGAGATTCTTAAACACAAGCATGTCATCTTAGCCAACTTTATAAACCCCACCCTTGTTGAATTCATAACGAGGCTCGATGAATTCTGGTTGCACGGGTGCTTCTTCTACAGTCCCTATTCAGTGGGGCACACTGGAAGTTGTTGTGAATGAATTCTTGTTATAGAGGCAGCTCATGGACTTGGGGAACATGCAGATGTTTCTTAGAGGCGTGGGCAAAGCTGGGCATGACAGAGCCTGTCAGAGACAGACACGAGTGAGAGACATGTGTGAACAGTTATTTTAAGGCCAAAGTGGGGGATAGCTCAAGGCCCTGAGACTTACCCACAGTGCTTCATTTTCAGTCTAAGTCATGTGCTGCTTGGCCTTCACCACACCTGGTCCCCCGTGTCTCTCCAGATTTAGAACAGCTGGAATTCTTTGGCTCAACTGCCTTGAAGTCTATTGAGAGTTCATCTTCTTATCCTTTCTGTCCCACCAGGACTGATTGATTGATCAATGTATTTATATTGCACAAACTCTAGAATGCATGTAGAACTCATCAAAATAATAATTATTACCGTTTTACAGTAGGAGAGTGAGGGGCCTCCCTCCTCTGTTCATTTCCCAGATGCTTCCTCAGCCCCGACCCCAATTCCAAACATGTTCTAACATGATGCAGTCCAGAGACCTAGAAATAAGGCAAATCCCGGCAGGTAGCGTGTGAGGAAAGACTTGAGTGTCATTCTCCCAGGTTATGTCACGGTAAAATCATGATCATAATGATGAGAACCATGAAAAGAGAGAGAAAGCACATATGATGTTTACCACATTCCCTGCCCCTGCAGGAACTCCTTCATTCCTGCCAACAAACCTTGAGATAGGCTTTGCTGTTATTTCTATTACATAGATGAGGAAATTGAGGCATATTCCACTCCCCATTCCATAGGGCAACATCCAAATGAGACTCAGTGGCCATGACAATCAGACCGATCGATTCAGCAGGGAAAAATGCAAGAAAATCTCTGAAAAGCCCGTCAGCCCACTTCTGCCTCCACAAGCGTGAGCAGCTGAGAAGGGAAATGCAGCCCCAACCTGCAGAGGCCAGGTGCTGACTCTAGCCGACCTGGTTCCACCCTTCATGGGCGGTGGGACCCCGCAGGGCCTCAGTTCCCATCTGCAAAGTGGGGACAGTGATAGTACTGACTGCATAGCATTGTAAGGATTTTAAGAACTAATATACACTAGGTCGTGCATGCCGTGGGTGCCCATACATGCTGGTTATTTATTTATTCCTTCACTGGCTGTCAAATAATGGCGATTCTATGATTTTAAGAAGGAAAAGTTGTGGCTCTGCCTCTTCACCAGGCAGGCAGGCAGGCATTTGCCTACTTGTATTTGTCGCAGCTCTCCTAAAAATGTAGCAGCGTTAATACCCTATCATGTTTCTGTAGTTGTGACTATCTGATACAGTTGGCTGTTAATGATGGATGTTCTGTGGATTTGTTGGAAGTGGAACTAAGCCCTTTAAATTCTCATTTTGGTCTGATTTGTTACATAGAACACTAGGGCTATAGACACCATGGAAATGAAGAAGTCACATTCAGGGCACTTTACAGTTTCAGTGTCCAGCAAGGTTCTCTTTTATTCATTTGATTAGAATTCACCCTTGGCCTTTTTTTCCAAAACAGGATTTTAAGCAACCTCAGCTTCCCTTACAAAATGAGCCTTTGTTTCCAAAGATGCTGGGGAAGAATAGCCAATTTGATAGCTCACACACAGACACCAAAGAAACCCTTCGTAATTCTTTTCTATCAATTCATTTCCCATTTAATATGGTTTCAGCAGTTAGAGGAAGTACCAGGGGGACAGGAAAGGAATGAAAGATCTGTGTTTTTGTTTAGTTGGGAGGGACAAGAAATACAAATATATGGAGACAACTGGAAAATACTTTTAAAATAATTAGGAAATAAATAGTGTATCAGGAGGTGGCCCAGAATGCCTCCAGGATAAAGGACGGGAACAGAATGGAACAATCAGCTCTGAGAGTCTTAAGAGAAACGTCAAGAAGACAGACCAAGATTGCCAAAGACTAATAATGGTAACAGTTATTGCTGTAAATTATAGAGCTCTATCCTACATGCCAGGAACTGTGCTATGCATTTTACATAGGATTAGCACCCTAAGAGGTCGTTTATCTTGTTATCCTTATTTCACAGATGAGGACACCAAGATTGACAGAGATCAAGGAGTGGTTCCCAATTACACAACTCGTAAGGCGTAGTGTCAGGATTTGAACCTAGATCTGTCTGACACAATCACATGTAGAGGAAAAAACAGAAGGTCTGTTGGGGAGAAGATCACCACTCTTCTCAGTGGCAGGAAGGTCAGAAGGTGAACAGAGAAACCAACGCTAGAACAGGAGCCACTGGGGTCACTAAGAAGAGGGAGAGGCAGGAGGTGCCTGTCAACAATGGCTTTGACCCTTAACCTGGAGAGTGTGGACCTAACCTAGTAGGTAACAGGGACCCTCTTGGGTAGAATAACAGGATGAAACACAGTGGTGGCATAAGTACACCTGCAGCTGTGGGAAAAGAGACTGGAAGGCAGAGAAACTTGTCTTAAAGGGAACCAGGAAGATGTCCATGGACATTGGATGACAATGGCCAAGTCCAAAAGATAGAGTGTCAAAGAAATAGGCTCCTTGCTCTCGGTATTCTGATACCTGTGTGTAGCCCCAGCTCACCCAAAGCCAAGAGGTCAATATGAGATTTCCATTGCTGCACTCAAATCTCTGAAAATAAAATGCTTTGACAGAGGGTTTCGTCTCCTGGTTGACACTGGCAGGAAAGATCCTTTCATGACGTGGCAAAGAAACGAAAGTGTTTCTGGTGTGCCATCTCCAGGACACTTGTGCTATCACCGTATCTTCAAACCACATCACACTGACCACATTATCTTCTGCCTGTCTGTTAGGTGATACGTCTTTTCTCCTTTGGTTAGATTCCCCCCCCCCCGCATTAGTAAATCGTAAATACTTGTTTATGATCATCTGAGTGAAAATACGGTGATCATGTATTTTTAAACAATAAATTGGAATTTGTACCCAGCACAAAAAATTAGTGATGAAAGAAGACATTGCTGTTTCCTGGCAGCCCTGCATCACTCCTCCCCTGATCGCTACTGCAGTGCAGGCTACTCCTTCTGTCTCCTCCCAGCCTGCCTAGACTAAAGCGGGGCACTTGGCCTGCGCAGTGATCACTGTCAGGCCAAACTACTTGTTGTGAGGTATTGTCCTCTTTGCTTGGAAAGAGCCACTTGTGGAAAAAATGTGGAAAATCCTAGATCTGGACAAAGATAAAACTCCTGGGATCCCACAGTGTGTCTATACTACAAAAACTTTTCTTTGATATTTACTTATCAAACAAAATATTTTTAAAAAGATCACCTTCAGGGCTTCCCTGGTGGCGCAGTGGTTGAGAGTCCGCCTGCCAATGCAGGGGACACGGGTTCGTGCCCCGGTCCGGGAAGATCCCACATGCCGCGGAGCGGCTGGGCCCGTGAGCCATGGCCGCTGAGGCTGCGCGTCCAGAGCCTGTGCTCCGCGGCGGGAGAGGCCACAACAGTGAGAGGCCCGCGTACCACAAAAAAAAAAAAAGATCGAGCGTACCACAAAAAAAAAAAAAGATCACCTTGAATAACTGTCTCTTCCTGCCCTGGAGTAGTAGCAGCTGGCTCACATACCCATCACTAAGTCCCTGTTCTGGGCATCCATGGGGATTCAGCAGGGGAAATTCTATGCCCATTGGTCATAGGATATGCCTTTAGCTACTTGGACATAGTATATTCTTTAAAAGAAGTTTCTTTGACAGACTTTACCACCAGACGGCTCTATAATCCCGGATATCCAAAGCCTAGGATAAAAACCTCAAAACCAGAGCTCTGAAACCTTTGCATAAGTGTAGGCGAAAATCTGCTCCAGGCATACAAACTTCCAGAAATGACTGTGACTGTGAAGGGGGTTGATTCTGTTTCACAGAACAGCATAGTGGTTCTGAACAGTGATTTGCCTTTGTAATAAAAGGAAACGCTGCAAAGCCAGAGGACTTTGGTCTCATCGTCATTTAGAAAGTATGTCTCATGAGGGCAGGATGGTGTCAGAGATGCTGCACTGTCCTTGCACTCTGGGGAAAGTGGGGTCTCATTTACAGAGCACCTTAGGCTCTAAGGGACGTGCTTGGTACTCACTGTGTCTCATTTCGTCCTCACAGCAGCCCTATGCATATGAGATAGATGTTGTGTCCATTTTTCCAGAGAAGGGAAACAGGCTCAATGCCATTAAATGCCCTGCCTGCTGCCAGAGGGGATAACTAAGTGGAAAGGCGTCTGCACGCCCATTTTACCTGCGCCCTGTCCGTCACTAAACTCTGCCCCTCCTGGAAGTCCACATATCTTCAAACCACATTTAGATCCTCACCTCACACCATACACCAAAAGGCAGTGTGTCTTGAGTTGATGCTTTTCTTCTCGTCAGTCCAGAGAAGATGGCTGCCTGGAGATGAACAGAGCCTGGGGCTGTGGAAAATATCTTTTCTCAGGATAAATGAGACTAACACTTCCATTACTCTTTACATTTCCAGAAAATGAAGTGCTGGCGCCAGCACCAGCTCCACCCCGGGAAGGTGAGTAAAAACATGGCCTTATATGTTTGGGCCGCAAATACAGAACATCCATCCCAGCATGAGTTGGCCTCCATTGAGGCTGTGAACTTTAACCCAACTCCCATGGAGAAGTTGGATGACCACAGTTCTTACAGGTTTGTAATAATAACCATACCTTGTGTTTATATAACTTCCTTATGTTAATCTGACTTGGATGGCACGTCATATACTTATAAGACCTTTGAAGTTATGCCAAAGTTGTTATTACGCCCATGCTTTAGCATTGTGGAGGCTGAGTCTCCAAGGGGCTGAAGGATTCACGGTGATTTTTCACACATAACTAAAGGCAAACAAAGCCCACATCTTTCTTGTGAGAGTGGGGTGATCCTACCTCAGTCCTGGAAGATGAGCGGCCCTTTCCTTACTTGAACTATGTCACCATCAAGCACCTCCAGAAACTCCTAGGGGAGTTTCCAGGAAGGTTTGGTGGCCTCCAAGGCTGAACATCAGCGACAACTTCTCCAGTCCTTGTACCCTGTTGTCCAGCAGGGGGCAACAGAAAAGCAAGCAATAAAGAGTTCCAGTGAACTCCTTGGCAGGTAGAGGTAGTGCCCAGCAACACGACAGGTAAAGCCTGCTTTTATATCCACCAACACCTAAGGAAGAGAACAGGATTAGAAGAATGGCAAGCCCAGGACTTCCCTGGTGGTGCAGTGGTTAAGAATCCACCTGCCAATGCAGGGGACATGGGTTTGAGCCCTGGTCCAGGAAGATCCCACATGCCGCGGAGCAACTAAGCCCGTGCGCCACAACTACTGAGCCCGCATGCCACAACTACTGAGCCCGCGTGCAACAAATACTGAAGCCCACGTGCTCTAGGGTCCATGTGCCGCAACTACTGAGCCCGTGTGATGCACCTACTGAAGCCTGCATGCCTAGAGCCTGTGCTCCACAACAAGAGAACCACCGCAATGAGAAGCCCATGCACCGCAACGAAGAGCAGCCCCTGCTCGCCGCAACTAGAGAAAGCCTGCATGCAGCAATGAAGACCCAATGCAGCCAGAAATTTAAAAAAAGAACGGCAAGCCCAAGTGGAATCTCCAGAATAATTTGTCTGCTCAGCCCCCCGGGTGGGGGCAACCAAAATTACATGCATTTTCCCACGAAGGCACCAAAGTGCCCTCTCTCGTCACTCTTCCTCCTAAACAAGATGAGAAACTGGCATCCATTCAAGTATTATTCACAGGATATTTACCATGTGTACACCTCTACTCTAACCCTTCAGAAGGATACAGAGCTACCTATCAGATACTTATTGATAGCTAGATGCAAACGTACTCTACCAGATGTAGTCGAGGAATTCTAAGTAGGAAATATTTCCCTGTATTCAGTTTGCTTACAGCCAAGTAGGAAATGAAATACAGCCCAGAGAACAATTAAGTAAGATACAAACACAATATTGAAACATGAGACACCACCGTAAGAACCTCACAAGGCGGTATGTGACTTAATGCAGGTTAGTTGAATTGACAATGTGGTGTGAAGCCAAGGGCTAGGAGGTCACCATAGACCAGTCCAGCCTGGGTGAAAGCAGGAATTGAATAAGGCTTCAGTTGCTGGTATTTTTGCATGGAAATTCATAAGAGGATATGACGCTCTTCTGCTTTAGAGATTATTTTCGGGAGGGCAGTTTGAGAAATCTAACTGCTCAGAGGAATCCCCTCCGTCCAGCTAAGTATACTAGATTCACACACTCAAAATCCTTCCATAGTAAAGAAGAGTACTGCTGTGTGTTAAAATAAATGAAACAGGCTCAGTGCCATGTTCGTTCAAACAGGGACAAGTTCCAGTTTAGTTTTCTTTCAAACCCATGTAAGATGTGTGACATTCTTCTTAGGAACTTCTTTGGTGTGTTTTCTCCTTGCACATACAGATTTATTTTTTGCCAGCACTGAGGTCACTGAGACCCTGCAGGCCATTACTGACATAACCTTTCCCTTCTGCTCTTCAGATCAGCAGCTGTCATTGGGCCACTATAAAGTTTCCCTTGTTACGCCACGTTTCATATTCATTATACAATACTGACCTCCTGTTCCTAAAACAAGTCTTCTTCCAAAGTCTGCTAAAATTATCCATATTAGTTCATTAAGATTCAGATGTTAGGGTTTCCCTGGTGGCGCAGCGGTTAAGAATCTGCCTGCCAATGCAGGGCACACGGGTTCGAGCCCCGGTCCGGGAAGATCCCACATGCTGCGGAGCAACTAAGCCCGTGCGCCACAACTGCTGAGCCTGCGCTCTAGAGCTAGTGAGCCACAACTACTGAAGCCCGTGCACCTAGAGCCCACGCACCGCAACAAGAGAAGCCACCGCAATGAGAAGCCTGCACACCCAAAGAAAAGTAGCCCCCGCTCACCGCAACTAGAGAAAAGCCCATGTGCAGCAATGAAGACCCAACGCAGCCAAAAATAAATAAATAAATAAATGAAAAAAAAAAGAATGAGTTAAAAAAAAGAAGTCCCTTGTTGGCATCTAAAATGAAGTGATCTATATTTTATACTATTTCCATACCAGCATGTTATAATATGTTCCCAGCATAGCTAAGCTATTTTAACAAAATCTGTTACGTGTTTCCATGTATACTTTTCCCCAAAATGATCAGATTTGTTAACTACTTTTATTAAGTTTAACGTGACTCTACATTATAATTCCCCAATTTGTAATTCACGTGTAGCATAATAAAGGAGCATATAGCATCATTTGTGCTCTGTTCTGTTATTAATTTCCTCTCTCCCCACCTCCACCCTGTTGCTCATCACACAATAAAATGCTTTCTTTAAGATACTTTTAAAAATGTGTTTGTACTTTCCACACAGAACCAAATAAAGAGAAGCAGGCCGGAACTTCACCAGCAAAAGGTGAGTTGGAGGGAGGGAAAGTGAGGCTGAATTCACCAAAGTTAGAAGCAGAAAGAGCTCAGTAATGATTGCCATGGAGGCCCCATAGAATTCCTCTGCATTATCTTCAGTCAGTGTGTATTAGAGTTCTTCCTGTGCATCTTATCTGCATAACCCAATCAGCATAATGACGAATGGTGCTTTGATCAGTTTTCATTACATTTTTAAAAGAAAAACAACAATGATAAAAATATCACAAGCAGTTGTTGAGATGCCAGCAAATTTATTTGTAGTTTCCAAGTTCCCGTGTGCATGTGAAGGAAAAGATGTGTCTGGTCTTCTTGGGATTACACCAATTTGGAAAATTATCTTAATTACCCAGATTTTTTTAAATTTAATGTTTTCATGTCACTGTGTAAACGGTTCCAGGTTTCACTAGTAATTTTGAAAACTAGTATCTCATTTTGTAACATTTGTGTTCATGGAGATTTATATAATGATTTATATAGAGGGACAATATAATTTAAGGAAACATCACGTTATTCCTTATTGAATTGGAAACATTTGGTTCTGTCCTATTATTCTATTTTCACTTTATATGGAGGTAGTCCAGTTTTAGAAAATGAATAACCTTTATCATATACTTTTTCATGGATCCATGAAATACTAATTCCTTTGTCTCCCCATGGAGGAAGTCATTGTCACTACTGACCATTTGTCTTAAGTAAAGGAGCAGTAGTCTTCTATAGAAGAAAGTTTTCACAGAGGTAGACCTGACAGTTTTGCTTTGTATGTTTGTATCATCATTTAAAAAACTTATTTTTTATTTGTGCACTGAGTAACATAGTTTAGATTCTGGAATAACCCATTATTTCCTGACTACAATAAGACCTTTCTCTTTTTTTCTGGACACCACTCAGAAGCGTTAAGTATCTCTTTGTTCTTACTATGTCATATTTCATTAACTAATTCCTATATTTTTGTCTTCTATATATTAGTAAAATACTTTTTTTTTTCAGTACATTGGACCACTTTTCCTCAGCTAACTTGAATTTACAGCTCTCATAAATGAACACATAGTGTTAGTATACTTACTCTGTCCTTGACCTTCAGTGGCTCCGTGAATAGTAACATGAATGCTAATCCTGGCCACATGGGCCACAGTCTGAAGGTTATTTGCATATGGAATGCAAACAGTGCAAACTCTTAGAACTCCTTCCATGAGATGGGTTCAAGGAGGTTTGGACATCCTGGCTGAAGTTGTTACAACATTCTTCTTTACAAGGCTGATGGCATACACCTCTGTTTCCAAATTTGGAAAGGCGCTTGGACCAGGCTGTAAGGCTCAACCAAACAGAGCGGATGATGTAATCCCAGAAGGCAAACTGTCAAAAGTTTAAACAAAGCCTGCGCCTGACCCTTAATCTGAAAATCATATTATATTTGTATGCTTAAATGCGAAAATGGCTTTCTGTAAGTTAAAATCAACCAACCAACCAGCCTACCAATCAACAAAAACCCTTTTCCTTACACAGAACACGATATGATGAAAGAGCAAGGTCAGATGACCAAGAAAGTCATCCTGAAATTAGTAGCATTTTTTTCCTGACATTTGCAGAAGTGAAACAAGGTCATGGCCACATGCAGTCATGTGCCCAGGTACATAAACTGCCACGTATGTATTTGCTCTACATGCCTAGAAAGCAAATCAATTTAGGATAGAAAGTGACATCCCTAAATAAAGAAGGTAGGTGGTGGAAGTTATTTCTAAATATACAATCCCCTTCAACCATTACTTACTTTCATCAAGGACAGGGAAGCTTCAAAGAAAATACCCAAGTGAAAAGTAGACACAGTAATCATTGCTATTATGAATAGCCCTGGTTGAGAAAGAATTCTTGCATCAGCATAAACAAGATTGACAGGTGCAACAGAGCTGCCCTCCAGCTTACACTAGAATCCCTGTCCTCCACCCTCCCCCAACCCTCAGTCTATCTAATTGTGGTTTATGTTTGAAAGAAAATTTATGTATTAAAGGAAAAAAGAAGAAGAAAGAAAGAAAAAAGAAATTTACAGAACCATTCAAGTCAAGTGTCACTCCTTTGTGCATCTTTCCCCTGACCATCCTAACGCACTTTCACTTCCCTTTCTTCCTCCTGCTTTTTCTTGGACTGATTGCTTCTGTCATGAAATCACCCTTTCCTTCACTTAATCCCATATTAATGTTTCACACCTTTTCCTAACATGTTATAAGCTTTGTGATGGTCAGGCACTGTGTCTTAACACTCTTTGGGCTCCTTATTTCATTTCTTCCAGCAGCTGGCAGAGAGCTGCATATGGTGATCTCCTAATAAATACCTGTAGAATGAATGATCAATTGAATTTCCATGCTGGCTTAGCTACTCATCATACAGACAATGGTAATCTAGATAGATTTTCATTTCCATTTGCTGGGCAGGAGGGTGAACATCCCATGCATACTCTTAGTCAATAAGGTTTGGAATGGGATGCCAGTGCTGTGTATTGTAAGATCAGCTCACTTAATGCTATTGAAAATGGTCACGGCTGGATAGAACATTTCCAGCACTTTAGTTAGTGCCCTATCGAATTAGTTGACATATATTTAATTAATAGCTCCAAGACTCTCACTTTTAAGAACATCATTCATAGCCATGCAGCCTTAATATCTTTCCCAGATTGAATCATTCTGTGACAGGCTGGAAATGTTCTGAAACTTTTTTTGTAGCCACAGAATGTTGTTTGGTTCTGATATCTATCTTACAAGTAGTGTTTGTGGTTAGATTTGCCAACTTTTCACAATTACTGAGAGTTTCTGGTAAACAGTTGATTTCTCAGGAAGGGGTTTATTATTTGTTTATTTGCTCGTTTGCCTCTGGTCTTGTCCATCCAGGTATCCTGTTCTCTAATACTGCCCACTTTGTCTTGGAGTTGAAATGACAGAGATGACAATAAAGAAATGGGTTTAACCAAACAGCAACATGAGAATTTAGATATGCAAATCCCTTTCAGAGCGATCATACTGAGAGATAATGTCCTTGAAAAAATAATGCTGCTGTGGCTTAGAATTCTTCCAGAATAATCACAGGTAGCAATTCAATGGAAAGCTAAGTATAGAGAATTTTCTATACCCTCAATGGAGCCACAGGTCTGCCTTCTATTCTAATGTTCATTTATTCATCTCAAGTATTCACTGAGTGTTGGCTAAATGCCAGGGGCAGGTCTGGGTGCTGGGTCCTGCCCTCCTAGAGCCAACTTTAGGGAACTTTAGAGTGGAGAGCAACCATCAGCAGTGCATTTCAGCTTTGGAAGCAGACAATTGTCATGGAGGGCCATGGGTGGAGAATAATGTGGGTGCTCAAGTGGGATCATACCTTTTTTTTTGATCAACCAACACCATATGTGTGAACATAGGATAATGAGACTGAGTCTCTTCTATGCCTTAACAATTAGCCCTGTGGGATGTTTCAAAACTGGTCCTAGTAGTGGTTCCATGTGTACTAGCGGCATTAGAATCAGAGAATACTTTGAAGATCAGTGCTCATTTTAATGCCTAAATTCTGATACATAAATTTTGATTTTATTTTTTACTTATTTTTAAAGATGACTTTTTTTTTAATTAATTAATTTTTTTATTTCTGGTCGCGTTGTGTCTTTGTTGCTGCGTGTGGGCTTTCTCTAGTTGCGGCAAGCGGGGGCTTCTCTTGTTGTGGAGCACCGGCTCTAGGCGTGCAGGCTCAGTATTTGTGGCTTGGCGGGCTCTAGAGCGCAGGCTCTGTAGTTGTGGTGTGCGGGCTTAGTTGCTCCATGGCATGTGGATCTTCTGGGACCAGGGCTCGAACCCGTGTCCCCTGCACTGGCAGGTGGATTCTTCACCACTGTGCCACCAGGGAAGTCCCAATTTTTGATTTTTAATTTTGTAATTTATCAGTTTATAGTCGGTATATTTTTGGGTAAGCCCAATTGGGATAGTTACTGCCTCTTTTTATTTTCCTTCCAGAAAAATTACTGCCCTTAGTAATTGTTGCAATGGAAGTAAAAACTTACTTTCTTTTCCCAGGCATCATCACTAACATTGCCACAAACTATCATGAATGAACCCTGTGTGTATTAACGATCTCATAATTTGAGATGAACATTCTTTTGTCATGAATGTGGTTGTCAGATGAGGAAGTGAATCAGCAGAATTTCCAGCGAACTTCTCCTACATGCTATGATTTTTTTTAATTAAAAGAATGATTAAGGTTTTTCTTCATTTAGGTCCCTTTACATCTGCAATATCTTTATCTTGGTGCTTCTTACTAGCATGCTAAAATATTTTTGTGCCATTTTACCTTTGGGTATCAGACGATCAACCATCTACTAAAATGTCTCTGCTTTACCTGTGTATTCCAACTACATGATTTCTTTGTAATGAACTTTGTTAAAAATTAATATCACTGTACTTCACGATTTTAAAACACAACGATTATAAAATACAACATTGATTTAATAGATTTGGGGGAGAAAAAAAACTCATTAAATAAACGTATTTATGGTAAGATGAATCCTGATTTCAGAAGCACCAAAGCATGGAGACATGTGTCTTCTCATTCAGAAAATATGATAAATTAATCAAATGCCTCACAGCATGTTGAATTAATGTTAGCTGTTTTTGTTATTGCCTTCTATATGTGGTTGTTTTTGTTGCTGTTATTATTTTGGTAACATATGCCAATATTTACTACAACTGATTGCTTGAGGAATTCATAAATTTGTCTACATCAAACAAGGTATTGTATCAGTATTTAACTGAGGTTTGTTTACAGTACATTTTAGTTTTATATGCTTTTATTCTAAAATCTCAACAATTGTCCCAAGTATGTATACTTTAAAAATTGATTTTAAAAGGCGGTTTAAGTCAGCCATAGGTAGAAGTTATTTTATGCCCAAGAGAGCTTGGAGATTTATAGGAATGTATACGTTCCACTGTCTCTGGCGTTCTCTCCCTCACATTCCAGATT